CCTAAGCTTAAAGATCTGCCCTAAGACTCCAAAGGAAAAGGAAAGGATGACTCGTGTTCCCTATGTTGTTGTAGGTAACTAAACTTATGCTATGATATGTACTCGTCCTGATATTTGCTATGCAGTACCATTGGTTAGTAGTTTTCAGTCAAATCCAAGGTTAGCTCATTGGAAGAAAATGAAAATGATGCTACAATATTTCAAGGGGACTTTGGATTATGTATTTTGCTACAAGTCTCTAGATGTACAGATGGTTGGTTATAGTGAAGTGAATTGGGGGTGGTGAAATGGATGAACGAAGGGTCACATCAGGATATGCTTTCTTACTTAGTGGCGGGGCCATTACATAGTGTAGCAAAAAGCAATCCTGCATAGTCTTAACCACCATGGGAGCAGAATACATGGCTTGTTCTGCTGTTGTACAAAAAGTTGTTTGGCAGAGAAGATTCCTTCAACATCTAAAAGTTGTCACACATATTTTGGGCCCAATGACGATTCGTTGTGAAAGCATAGTTGTGTTACCTTATGCCAAGGATTCTAAATATCATTGGAGAACTAAACACATAGATTTGAGATATCATTACATCAGAGACATGATTGCACAAAAGAAAATAATGTTGAAACACATACCTACTAGTTAAATGGTTGCAGACCCCTTGACTAAGCCTATAGGTAGAGATGCTTATGCGGCTTAAGTTAGAACTCTAGGTCTTTGTAGATATTGATTATGTGATAGAGATTGTATGGATCACATAAGTCATTTGTATTGACATTTTTGGGATATTAATACATGATTTTATCTGCAATTGAATGTTATGCTACTTAATTACCTTGGTATTTGAGAAAGCACATACAATAAGCATGTTAGTAGGCATGATTGACTTACTTACATGAGCAATCGCCTTTGAAGTTTGAGATGACGAGCAAAGATGAAATACTCTAACATATAGTGTCGCTTTGTTTTGTATACAAAATAAGATCTAACATTTGAGGATTGATAATGGACATAACTCCATGTCTATTATGTTTGTGTTTGTTGATTAACTAGATGCAAAATCTTAATTTGGTGCCTTTGAAGGGTGAGCAAATAGAGAACTCGAGTTAAACGCTTGTAGAGCAACTAGATTAAGATCTGTACGGTGTTTGAGTATGACATAAACTCTCATTAGGAGCAAGACACTCCACTGTAGTATGTATTTCATACTACATGTGTTTGGCGACTAATTAAGGAGGACATTGCAGGGAAAATGGTTATTTCTGAACTAAGTGACATAAGGGGCTAAAGAAAGACTATTCAGAACATCTCGTGATATATTTATTGTTGACAACTTTGGGTACTAATTTAAATAGTGACAAAGTGTGAATATATAGGTGAAAGCTTCGAATGGTTAATTATGCTCTTATATTTTGTGGGATTAGAGATGCTTGAACCGATATATCCGAATAGGTCCAGTGTACTTGGGACAACATTTTATTTTATTTATTTAGGGTTATGTCTCTATACTGGCTTTGTAGAGTTTTTAGTATAGAGCTCCCAAAATTGTAGGTGTGCTCAACGGTTGCACGTCTTATTAGCTTGGATGAATTGACGTTGATGTATATAATAGATCGAGAGAGATGATAGTGTCGTACTCACCATGAGCGAGTGAGAAATGTTAGATATTGAGTTTGAATCCATGATTCAGACCTGGGTACCCATGATGGGTCAACCCAATTAGAGATTGCCCAAGAAGCATGGATTTTAGAGGTATCCTTTGCCACTCAACATACATGTCGGTTAACATTTAACAAACATGTCCATTACAAGGCATCTATTGGTTGTCTATATAAACACTAAGTCAACCTAATAGACATCATTAGAAAAACTCTTAACGTTAGATTCTCCAACTCTCTCTCTCTCTCTCTCTCTCCTACTACTGTTGAAAGGTTTTTGTGCTGTAAAAATCCAGTGTTAATTCGTCTTGCGTAATAACACTATACCGCTTGCACTATCAAAGAAAAGACAGTTTTCAAATTCTAAAGAAACGTAAAACATTCTCAAACGATTTGAGATTAAACCGAATAAGAGGTATGTCTTTAATCCTATACTTCCGCAAATGCATACAATTTCCACCAGGAGCAAAACACAATAAAATTTTAGAGCGAAAGTGTCATATTAAAAAAATAAATTTCTTTGACAAATATATGACAAATTATTTAATTTTTAACTATGAATTGATTATTTGTTCAATTTCAACACGTTTATAAAGTATTCTTGTACTGGATGTAAGTGATTAATTTTTATTCCATTATTGTAAAGGTTTCCTGTGTTTTTCTTTCTAACTCTGTACAAACCACCACGCTGCTGGATTATAAATATTATTCCACATGGTATAATTCATTTTTAATTTTGTGGTTTGATAGGGTTTTGAATTTTTCGAATGTTTAGGATTGAATTTATAATTTAGCTTAAAAAATTACGCCTTTAAGAAGATAGTTGATGTAATTAATTTAAACAAAAATTTTAAGGAGTTATAATTCACATTTAATTTGCGATTTTAATTTTAATTTTGTTGTATAACCAGAATACGCGACTATTGTTTGTTTAATTTATCAAATTTAGTAATTAAATTCTAGAAAAAAGTTGGCGACGTCATTCGCGCACATAATGACATCATCAATTTGAAGTAGCCTCGACCACCATGCTACTCGATTATAAATTTGATTCAACATAATATGATTTATTTTTAATTTTGTGGTCATTCGATAGGATTTTGAATTTTTCGAAGGCTTATCAGCAGAAAGTATTGAAATTCTTATTTGACTTAAAAACCATGGCTTTAAAAAGATGGTCGATTTAATTAATTTAAACATTAATTTTAAGGCGTTACTTGGGTCATTAGTTTAGGGTAAAAATGATAAATCATATTTAATTCACAATTTTATTTTTATTTTGCTGAATTAAAAATTTGAATACACATGATTTTGGCTTAATTCGTCAAATTTATTAATTGAATTTTAATTTTTTAAATTTAAAAAATTGACAATGTAAATTCATAGTGAATCCTATGCTAACTAAGAAAAACGTACTTCAAGCATCTCCAACCGGTATGCCAAATACCATGTAAAGGTTCTAACGTCTCTATTTTGACTTGTAAGCCTTCTCCAACTGATATGACAACTGTTGACTAGGCAACATCAAATTTGATATATTTCACTAACAATAATGTTACACACTAACTAAATTTTGGGATCAAATTAATAGTTCAAATAACATTGACAGCTGACTTAAGTTTCTTTATTTGATATCATCATATCATTTGAGTCTCAATAAAAACTGTCATGTCATTTGGGTTATTGAAATATTTCAAACCTTTTTAATACAATATTTTATAGAATAGTTGGGTGTTTAATGCAATTTATTTTATGTAGTAACATATAATTTTTTTATAATTTATATTTCAGAATTATACTTTTAATTATCATTTAAATTTGTATTAACTAATTTTAATGAGAATTTTAGTTTTTTAATAAAATATATACTACTTTTCATATAAAATTTATAATATTTTAAAATATATTATTTTTAATAATATTTATTTTAATTGATTAGATTGTAAATTTGGATTATATAATATTTCTCTAACATTTAACACCTATATCGGAGGAATATATATTGAATGCGACAATAATACCATGCCAATATTAATAACATGATATTACAAACTAACAATAAAATTTCAAGTGGACAAAGTGAACCTCACTTACGGAAGGTAGGTGAATTTACATGAAAGAAGAGTAAAAAATTATTTATTTATATAATAAATTAATTATTAATTCTTATAAGATCTATTTATTTATTTTAATATTATTAATATATAATATTATATCACATTATTATGTGATATTACCGTTCTAATAAATGGTCTGAGCTTTCCCAACTGAATATGGTCTCGAGGGAGGTCCGAGTTTTCCCAACTTTCATTTGAAGTGTCATTTATTGTACAGGTTGTTGACAAATTTAATGTACGAACGCAATAGCAAGGTTACGCGTAATGAACCCATTAAAACTCCCACCAGTCTTTTCTCTCTCTCTCTCTCTCTCTATTATTATTTGTTTTGTGAATAATTATTGGTTTACCCTAATAAGCTTCTTGCAAAAAATTACTCATCATGTTTCAAGAATTGCTCCACACAACCCTAATTACTCCCACGTAGAAGTCTCGGGTCATATTTGAATCATATCATTTTTTAAATTAATACTTGATATTAATGAATTTTAACTCGAGTCATACACTAATCTTTGTATGGTAGGTAGCTTTCAATCTTAACTTTCCAGTTCATTAAAAAAACAAAAAAAAACCTTTTAGTCTTTACTACAATTTTTTTTGTGATCAACTGTCTAAAATATCTAAATCAATTTAAGCTCATCTTAACTTCAGTTTTGTGACACTGTTTCAATACCTCTTTGAAGTGAAGCCCTTTATAGAATGATTCAAATAGTATTCATATAACACCTAATCAAGAAATAACCAAAAAAATAAATCAAATAACCTTTCATAGACCGTCAGTTAGCCTACTTTTTAATTTTAAAATTGGATTATTCGCACTAAGCACTAATCTAATCTATTTACTATTCGTGATAACAAGTCATATTAATTTTTCATTCGTACGGTGTTCTTGTTAATTTTAAGTAAGGTTTGTGTAATCCCCCTAATGAAGTTGCCGCATTTGTTTGGTGAACAACCAAGATACCCTATTTATCATCTCCGACCAAAAGAATGTATACTAATTATGTTTTGGTAAGTGTTCCCCTGGAACCCCCACCCCCTTTCTCTTCTCTCCTCCATATAAATCAGGAAGTGCTGGTAAGTGTGAAATGAACTCTCTCTCTCTCTCTCTCTCTCTCCACCATGGTAAAGACTAAAGAAGAAGGCCTAATCCACAGTATCAAACTCTCATCGGTCGGACCAGGGAGGGTAACCGGGGAAGACGTAGTCTATGAGCCTACTAACATGGACTTAGCCATGAAGCTTCACTACCTCAGAGCTGTTTACTATTTCAGGAGTCAAGCATTTGATGGCTTGACCATCCTCCAGATCAAGGAACCAATGTTCACATTTTTTCATCCGTTCTACATGACTTGTGGCCGGTTCCGGCGATCGGAGTCCGGACGGCCATACATCAAGTGCAATGACTGTGGTGCAAGGTTCATAGAGGCCCAGTGCGACATGACCATAGATGAGTGGTTGGAGATGAAGGATGTGATTTCTCTCCAAAATCTGCTTGTTTCCAATCAAGTTATCGGTCCAGAGTTAGCGTTCTCTCCCCCAGTTTTGATGCAGGTACCTTACATTAACAAACTTATGCTCCTAGCTTGGTTTAACTTGCATCATGAATTGAAACGAATTCAGAAATTTAATAGGGACAAAACCAAAAATTTATTACTAACACTAGGAATCCACTTTTTACTTGAATATCTAATACTTCCCTTCCGGGGCATCATTTGGGGTTTACCAAGTTGAACATGATGTCTATTCATGAAGTTAACATTCAATATTAGAGCAAAATTACATCATTATTGTTATGTGATGTCATCGACTAATTATGATAAGCAGGAATTACTAATAGATCTTACTAATTAATTTTTACATCTAATAATTATCATGTTGTATTAATCCCACCTTATAATCTATATAATAAAGTAGTTAGAAAATTTTGTCTTGAGTTTTTTGCGATTCAAATTGTTTGACGATTATTGATCAAACGGTCCTCGTGCAAAAATTTTCTAAGATTTTTATCCCTCATGTAAGTCTCTATATATCTGTCTTATATACTCACTCTCTCTCTCTCTCTCTCTCTCTCTCTCTTACTATTATCTATTTTTTTTGTTTTTCCTATGTTATTTTTTTTTCATTTACTCTATACTTTCATTTGCAATTATTTATTCCATGAAACTAATTCAAATGTTTTATATATCTAATGACATGTATTTTGTCACTTCTTATTTGTAAATAACATTTAATGTAAATAAAAAACAACACACACTTTTTACGATATGACGACTTTTTATTCGGGTTTCACATCTTTGCCTAAAATTAGATTTTAGTTGATTCAGGGCCTAAATTCTTGTAGAATTTCCATTAACAATAGTTTTTATATAGATTATTTTATAAATTTTTTTAATATTTGCTTTATTTGTTATATTTTATGTTTTCATTTTCTCTTTTGTGGTGTGGGTGGAGGTGAGTGGGCAATGATTGTGGTGTGAAATTTGATTTTTTTTTTATTGTCTTTTAGAATTGTGTGAGCAGGTTTTCATCATTATAGAAGTTTAACTAGACAAGATTTTTAAACCATTTTGACAGTTTTCTCACATTATTTTTTAGGATAAAAAATATGGACACCCCCTGAGTTTTGACAATATTATACGGATACCCTCTGACATTTTACAAATAACACAAAGACCTCCTAAGATTTGAAACTCATTACACAAAGACTCCTTCATCTCCCTTTCATCAATGTTATTAACAAAAAGTGATGATTTTATCCCAAAAATTTTATTATTTTCATAATTGTCCTTCTCTAAAGTTAGTATCAAAAAAATTAAAATTAAATTAAAATTTTAATAAAATCAGATAAAATTTAATTTAGTACCCCAAAAAAATTTCAATATTAATTCGATAACAATAAAAATTAATTCGACAAAGTTGAATATTAATTTGGAAAAATTAAATATTATTTATTATTGATCAAATAAACACGAAATTGACCTTAAATTATATTTTTGACAATATTATCAATTTTTTTGTACTAAATTTTTAAAATTTTTTCAAACTATCAAATTTTTTTGTCAACTTTTTAATTTATTTTCATGTATTTTCATGTGAACTATAGATTTTTGGGTTTATCAAGTGGAGGTGAGCGATTCTCTTAAAAAAAAAAAGTGAGAGGGGGGGTGAACAATTGATTTTATTTAAGTATGTGTGGTTGAATCTTAACCAAAAAAAATTTTATCAAATGATATAGTAAAAGGGAAGACGATATGCTATAAAAAATATGTATTTAAATTTTATGATTTAAAATATAAAATTTTAAGTTTATATACAACAAAAAAAATTATAATTTAAGGTCAATTTCATGTATGTTTAATCAACATCAAATAATATTCAAAACGAAATGAACCTTAGATTGTAAATTAATATATTAATTTATTAAAAATTAACATTTAATTTTGTCCAATTTATATTCAACTTTGTCGAATTAATATAAAATTAATTTTTATTCTTGTCAAATTAATTTTTTTTGTTATCAAATTAATATTAAAATTCAATTAATCAATTTTTTGGGGTACTACATTATATCATTTTTTTGCTACTAAATCAAATATTATTTTGTTTTATTAAATTTTTAATTTTTTTGGGTACTAAACTTAGAGAAAGGCAATTGTAAAAATAATAAAAAAAATTGGGATGAAATCATCACTTTTTCATTAGCAACATTGACAAAATGCAGACATAGGAATCTCTGTGCAATAAATTTCAAATCTCAGGAGGTCTCTGTGTTATTTATAAAATGTCAGGGAGTGTCCATATAATATTGTCAAAACTCAGAGGATGTTCATATTTTTTACCCTATTTTTTAATTAGATATTAATTTATTATTATTTTATCTTAAAAATTTAAACTATTGTATTTCTAATAAAAACAATTATTGGTTAGGAAGGTTTGTTGGTAGCCAAAAAAGAAATGTGTGAGTGTGTTTTTGTGTATTAATATGTGGAGGCTTGGACATTTGACAATTAAATTTATAATTATATTGTGTCATTTGGAGTTGAATAGTGATAGTGATGATAAATTCGTGAGTTTTATAAATTAGCACAATTTGGTTGATTTTATTTATTTTTTAAAGATTGTGAATTTAATTTTGTTCTGTCAGTATTTTTTTTTTGTTTAAGATATTTATTACATGGGCAATATGGTGGATTGAAAATATGGTGGTTGAGTATATAATTATCTTCTGTTATTGGATTGAGTGGTGGTAGATATGATAAATTCGTGTGTCTTATATATAAGCAAGATTTTATTTATTATTTAAAGATTGTAAATTTCAATGAGTTATGTTAGTATTTGTTTTTTTGGAGGCATTTGTATATATGGTGTTGTTTTAAGGAGTTTTCATATATTTTTATAACAGTTTCATTAATATAGAGAATATGGTCGACGATATATTTCGAGTCATTTTAGAAGAAGAATTTGTATGAATGTTTTTATGTCATTCCTTTTGAATTTGGGGAATTATTTAAGATTTTTTTGTTTGTTATATAGTGCCTTCAGATACGGACAATGACTAATTATTGAATATAATAGATATTAGTCGTTAAAAAATTTAGTAGAATTCATTAGTCATATTTATTTGTAATTGGTGTGTGATACCAAGTGACGGTAAGAGTGGGTGTATCATTACAATTGGTATTTTTTTTTTTCAGTTTCAACGGTTAGGATGTCTGAGTTAGTTTATGTGCACTTTAATTAATTTTCTTTTTTATTCGGTCAAAGATAGATCATCTATGCCGAAATTAGGGTATCTATGAAATATATATTTCTCGTGACTTGACCCTAAAAAATTATTAGGATTTAAATTCAGGATGTTTAAGTTTATAACTCATCCCTATTATTATTTAAATTTATAATTCAAATAATTAAAATTTAAATTCAAGACATTTACGTTTAGACTTATCCCTATAATCTCGAGAATTTACCGTTACTATTTTCTCCTGTTCCTGGATAGTTATATTTCTCTCTCAGAAGTCAGAAGTGTGTGGTACATACATCCATCTTGGAATAGTGCCTTAAAGCCACTCATGGGGTCCCATTCGACTGAGTGGATGCAACCACAAAGTCATATAGCCAGCCTCGTACAGTTTCTCTGTATCTACAATAACTAACACTTTTTTATGCTTCTAATAGTCATCTTTTTTTTTTTTGGTCCTTTTAAAAAAGGAGAGAACTTGAACTCTTAATTTTAATAAGACAAAGTCTTTACGAAACAAACTCAATTATCTCTATTTGAATCAAGAACAAGCCGATATAAATTTCACAGAAGTTAATGAGTATAATTTTTGTTTTAAAATTTTTAATTATAAACAAGTTGATATACTCGACTTATTTAGTAAACGTTATTTAACTTTCGTTTGAAATTGCTTTAATTTTTTAAAATTGATGTGACTTAGTCTAAGATTGATTACTATTAACTTAATTGTTTATATTAAGAAATATATTTTCGATAATATTATTAATAATGTTATTATACAATCTTTTCAAAGTATGAAAAATTGTCTGGGTCTAAATTTATATTACTATAAGTAACCTCATTTTTTTGCAAATGGTTGTAATTAGTTTTTTTTTAATCGGATATTATTTGTATAGATTACGAAAATTGGTATTTGATTTTTTTACATTTAATGAATCTTTAAATATACAATACCATATAGGAAAAAAAAAAAAAGACACATGTATTACAACACTTTTATTAATTAAAAAAAATAATAATTTTTGTAGGTTAAATATGTCCACACGAAAACAAATTTCTGACTCCGCCACCAGTAGAAACACTACAAGACATCACGAACTGAGCAATTTGACAACCTTTCACCAAGTTACTCTGATGGGACAAGACTATTGGACCATAAAAAAGATAAAAAAATATATATAAAAAATAGTGTGTTTGAGACTTTGCAACTGTCGGTGTCAACTGGTCATTAACTATAAATATTGTCCATTTTCATTAAAGGAATGCCACCTATTTTTTTTTAAGTTGCCAAGGGGAGTGAGTGATGCCCACTCCATGACCATGAGCGTAGAATTTTGGGTCTGGATAGTGACATTTTTTTCCTGGAGACTTGTGCCACCTAACTCTTTGTCCACATATTAATGAGAGAATAACCCAATTATTATAGCCTAAATCCTCTACATTCTACAATTCGTTAACAACTAAAATCCGATTCAAAGTTTATGTCTTATTGGATAGAATGTCTTTCGCGGTGGAATGGCTTATCATGTATTTATCTCTGTAAGTTGTAAAAAAAACAACTTTAATTCCACTTTTTATATATTATAGGTATCTAGACTTTAAAGGGTTGTTTAGTAAGAGAGTATGAGGGGACTTGGTGAGATAAGTTTGAGAAAAATAATTCAAAAGACCTTCAAATCTTATGTTTGGATTCAAAATTTAATCCCGAATTTTAAAATTCGGTCTGTAGCTGGCCCAAAGATCAAATCAATGATAACGGGTTTCGTCAAATCTAGGAGAGGTAGATTTGGGAAGATGAGTTAAGGATGCAAATGACAATTGTACCATTTAACATGAGTATGAATTGAATTGATTAAGAGTAAAATAGTCATTTATAGGACAAATAGTTATTAATAATTATGATATATTCGTAAATTTTACATGTGTATGTATTGCATATTTAACATGGATATAGACCGGATTTAATGTTAAATTTTATTCTTTTAAAGAAGGGTTTGCATTTGGAATGGTTTGGGGAAGCTAATCCAAATTCTTTCCAAAAGTTCATCCAAATAAGTCCTAAAGGTACTAAGAAAACAAGAGAAACACTTGGATGTCTCCTTACTATATATTTATTTGTAGTGGGTAAGATTATCTTATTGAGTTCGATATCATAACTCCATCTATCTTAGTCATTAATTTTGAATTGGATAAACTATAAAATAAGAAAGTATTAAAGATAATAAAAATATAAAACCTTTATCCTTGGAATGTTTTAATTAGATGAAAAATATAACTACAATACTAATATTTTGATACCATAAAGAAATTCATGTCAGCCACCTTTGTGGCATTGACACCTCTTGGTCTAGGAGTAGTATTTTTTTCAGTACCATACCGACATTTACTAATTTTCTTGATTTCTTTTTCAAACTTTGTGAATTATTTATAATTTTTGTGAATTATTTATAATTTCTTAGAATAATTTATAACTTTTGAGGGTAAGTTGTAATTGATCTTAAAATTTTAGGGTCAATCACAAATAACCTACAAAAATTGTAAATAACCCCACAAAAGTTGTTTCTTACACTATAAAAGTTATATATAACCTACAAAGTTGTAATTGTTTTTTTATTATAAGCAAACCCAAAAACCTATGAACTTTGATGGTACGGTACCAATTTTTTTTTTATGATACCGCTGTCTTCTCCCTTGATCTATTAGTCTATTACTATATGCTAACATAAAGCGGGGTTGTGTGTTCCTCTCTTGATCGTAATTAACTTTTCACTTGATCTGTTTTGTACATATACTAGTAATAACGTGTACCTAAAAGTACGGTACAATGTGAATGATTTTGAGAAGGATGTTGGTGGGTGTTATATGAGTTTATTTAACACCGTCAGATGGACTTATTGAAACATGCCTTATTTTATATTAGAGATTTTATGGGCTATACTAATGTGTAATGATTTTTGATAGTTATATATCTAGTCTAGATTATTTTTGACCATTCGATCGCTTTTGGGTTAATCTGAGATCGTTGAATTATGAGAAATATGCTTTAAAAATCGCTATGTTTTATTATATAGATTTCCATGATTTGTATTTCTTGGACCTGAATGCAGCTCACGAGGTTTAAGTGTGGCGGAACGTCAGTGGGCCTAAGTTGGGCCCATGTTCTTGGAGATGCGTTCTCAGTTGCAGAATTCATGGACACGTGGAGTAAAGTGGCCGCGGGTCATCAGCTAGCCCAGCCCATCAACTTAGCCCAACCAGTCATCAAGAGTCCAGATTCTCAAAGCCCGCCCAAAATTGATCAGGAATTGATTTCTGTGAAACGAGTGGGCCCAATTGGAGATCACTGGATCACTACTAATGCCTGCAAAATGGAAACATTTTCATTCCACGTTAGTCCCTCACAATTGAACGACTTACATTCTAATATAAGCGGCAAGAAGGGCAGTAGTGGAATTTCACCATTTGACTCTCTTTGTGCTATCATTTGGCAAAGTGTTGCCAAGGTTAGAGATGGGACTGAGCCCAAAGTAGTGACAATTTACCGGAAGGATCCAAATATGCAGAAATATGGAATTGTGAGCAACAGTCAAGTTATAAGCTCGGTTATGGCGGGTTATTCCATAAGGGATGCAGACCCTATGGAACTAGCTGCATTGATAAAAAATCAAGCTGTCGACGAGCGGAAAAAGATTCAAGAAGCAATGGAGAGAGATCGTGGATTGTCCGATTTTATCATGTACGGGGCAAACTTGACTTTCGTGAATTTAGAGGAGACAGATTTTTATGGATTCGAAATGAAGGGAGAAAAACCTATCTTTGTGAGCTATACCATTGATGGTGTAGGCGACGAGGGGTTGGTTTTGGTGCAACCGGGACCGATAAATGCAGGCAAGGATGGTAGTGCAGGACGGATTGTGACCATAACAGTGCCAGAGAATGAGGTTTTGGAGCTGAAATCTGAGCTTGAAACAGAATGGTCTATTGCTTGAAAGAATTCTTAGAGAAAAGCATAGTGTGATCAGTGGCTTAGTATGTGGTATGGAAACTTTTGGGCTCATATGGAGGAGTGGACTAGGCAAGGCAGTGGGCCTGGCCTCTTTTAATAAATATCAATGGCGTTTTATGTGTGGGTACAATTTTTTTAGATTTATTTGAGAAGAAGTGTACGGATAAATATTTTACTCTATTAAGTTCAATTTTAATAAAATATCTTGTGATTAGGTATAAAATTCAAATGACATTTGAATTTTTTTGCTTACTTATCATTCCTTAATTTATGCATTATTTTAATTCTCTCAATCTCACTCTCTCTCTCCCTATCTCTCCTCTATTTTCTCTCTGTATCTTTCATTGATAATTTATTTATTTTTAAATATATAAAAATTTGATTTAATTTTTATCTCTCTCCCATATTTTTTTTTATCTTTTATTTATATCAACGTTTCAAAAATACAATTACACGAATTAGTTACAATTACCTTATAATACATCAAACAATTATACAAAATTATAATATTAACTCAATTTGTCATTCAGTTATTTACATAAATGAAAGAATTATACCATTTAATATCCCAATATAGTTACACAAATTATATTTGTGTGTATGTGTTTGTACATATCAAATTCAATCATAATCAAATCAAAGTTTGTTATGTCCAAATCTAAAACTTTAGAATATATAATAGTATAATCGACCTTTGATATCGTTAAAAAATATTAATTTATGTCTTAATGATCAAATTTAAAAAAAATATTGATTCGATAACTTAATTGAGTCATTGGAGTAGAAATAGAGATAGCCATAAATTTGGACATGTTGAAATTAAGATTCATAGCTTAAGGATCCATAACACTTCCTCATATATTAACGGGTCCAATAGGCAATAAATTGTTGGATTAATTGTAAATAATACCTCGAAAGAACATTCGAATCTCAATTTACACCCACAAAGATAAAAAATTGTATCATTGTGTACCCCTAAGAAACTAAACGTCGTCAGTTTCCTGCCTAAAACTATATTGATAAATTATACTTAGATCCCCTTATGTTTGTCATTTAATCATTTGAACCCCTTCACATTTAAAATATTACTCATATATCTCATGACGTTTGTGCACGTGTAACATGTAACCCTTATACTCTAAAGTTCAAAATTAATTTTACTATTTGAATGTCTAATAGAATAAAGGGTTGCACATTGAATGATATATTGCATTGGATAAAAAAAATATTATATAAATTTCTACATTCTAGACATTCAAATGGTAAACTTGATTTTAAACTTTAGAATATATTGGACCCCAAAATAAAAGGTAATATGAAATTATAATTTTTTATTAGGATAAAATCATATTTTTTAACGATTATATTAACAGATATCAACGAAAAGAAGTTACGTGTTACACATGCACAAACGTCATGAGATGTAGGAGTAATATTCTAAATGTGAAGGAGTCCAAATGATTAAGTGACAAGCATGAGGGGTTCTAGGTATAATTTATCAATTTAGTTTTAGGTGCATATTAATACAAATTTTTATTTTTAAGGGTACAAATTAATTTTTTTTTATCTTTAAGGGTACACATTAATACAAATTTCTATCTTTGAGGGTGTAAATTGAGATTTTTAATTTTTGGGGGTGTAAATTGAGATTCGAACGATCTTTTGAGGTACCACTTGCAATTAACCCTAAATTGTTTAGACACACAAAAATTAGCTTTGGGCCAAATCACAACACGTGGTAAAAGAGATAGCTTTAGTGTGGATTGCTAGAATGGTAGTCTCAGTTTTCGTTGACAGTGTGTATAATCAAATACAAAAATCTTTCTCGTTTATTAACTTTACATGACGAAATTAGGGCTTATCTTTGACGAGTAGATTCCGTATGAATGAAGAACAGATGCAGATAGAACAACATGCTCAATAGACTTCACGATCTTCTACTGTATATCTTTCTACGCCAAAATTCGAATGTAGTGTAAGCTATAAACCTCCGAATTCTTTTCCTTGCTTTCTCTCTGTCTTTTCTAAACATGAAGGTAAAAGTTATGGCTGAGAGAACTAGAGAATACATTTATTTTTAGGCTACAATAGAGACCCTATGGAGAACTAAGGGCTAGGCTTCCAATGGACATGATAATCCTATGTCCAACCCAGAAAAACATTGTATGGTCTATTAATAATAGTAAAAATTAGAACCAAATATAATATGATGAACTGTTTTGTTAATAGATCCAAGAGCAATTTCTTTGGGTTATGAAGGACACATATTATATACTTTTTTGTAAGTAGGTTCAATAGTCCCTTTACTTTTTTTTTTTTTATTTATTTCCTATGTTGACCTTCAATAGATCAAGCATATCTTTTTAAGATTGCTCTCTCTTTCTTTAATTTATCTCTCCTATCTCCTCCTTTAATTTATCCATCTAACTATTTTTCTCTCCTCTCTTCTTTAATTGCTCTCTCATCTATCTTCCATTCCATTATTTCTCTCTCCTTCCATTACTTCTCTCTCTCATCTATCCCACAAATTTTGATCCATTGAAATTAAGATTCATAGTTACTAGTGTTATAAGCAGATATCAATCAAATTTCAAGTTTGAAACATTGGAATGTAGTCAAAACATTCTTAAGTACTTGAGAAAAACTAAGGATGCATTTCTTGTCTATGGAGAATGAGAGCCATGTGTGGATGGATATATGGACTTAAACTTTTAGTCTAATGTAGATAAAAAAAAATCTACTTTTGGATTTGTGTCCATCTTAAATAATGGTGTAGTGAGTTGGAGGAGTTGTAAATGAGATATTGCAGTGAATTCCACTACTATTATTGAGTAAGTTGTCGTCTCAAAAGATGTCAAAGAAGTTGTTTGGATTAAGAAGTTCATTAATGAACTCAAATTAGTTCCTATCATTGAGTCACATACACTATTGTATAGTGATGACAAAGGGGCGATAGTTCAAGCCAAGGAACCAAAGTCTCATCAGAAGCCCAAACTCTTATAATGCCCAAACTCTTATAATGACATTTCAATATGATCTGAAATATCATTGGAACAGGTGATGTGTGTATTTAGAAGATTGCATCAATGGATAACATAGCGGGCCCACTTATGAAGGCACTAAGATAACAACAGCAAGATAGACATCTTTTAGAAGATGAGTATTAAATACATGATCAATTGATATTAGTACAAGTGGGAGATTGTTAATAGTATGCTCTAAGAGCAATCATATAGATAATGTTTTGGAGTTGTACTAGCAACATTCATTACTTAATTAAATAAAAGGGCAAGTTTATTTATCATGTTTTTACTTTATTTCATTTTAATATACATGATATAGTCCACAGAGTATAAGTTAAGAAGATGATTTCTCAAGGAGTTAAGAAGATGAGATCTATACTTTTTAATACATAACTCTTAAATGTTTCTAGTTATAAGATTATTATGTGGGTACTATGTAATCTAGATAGACTAATATACACTATATTTAATCATATTTGATATGAGGTGACTCTTTCAAGTCACTAGTGTACGGACACTGAAACAGGTGTATGGGTACTTGTTAGAGAACAAGTACACTAAACGTGACCATTGACTAACGTAAGATTTTTGTTATGTGTATGGACTTTTATACTTTAACTGTATAACATATTCATATACTAACATGTAACTTGGATATGTATTGTTGAACATAGTTAAAAATGCATAGAGACTTATGAGTGTACAACATGGAATCTATCACCCTTACTAAATAATGGGAGAATGTTCTATGTAATCTTCTAAGATATGACTCAAGGAATCATTAGCCAAGATAGAATGACAATTAGAAAAAAAAGTTTTTAATTGATCATTAAGAGTCATAGTCCTAAGATCGAACACATAAGTCATACTCTAATAATTCAATTGAGGCATTATGTAATAGAAGGGTTGAATTGCATAACAACAGTAGATTGAATAGGTTCTTTACCTACTTCATGTTATCTGGAGGTTGATCATGATATGCTGCTAGGTATCGCTAATAATTAGTAGAAGTCCGAAGAATGAAATTAATATAAACATATTAATTGTTCTTCATAAAGGGATAATTAGAAGAGTTACAATTCAAGCTAAATTAGAAAGAGTTCTAATTTGAGATGCTGCTTGTAGTTAGTGACAAATGCCTACAACCAGATATGCTTAAACCTATAGGGTCACACACAATAGAATTGATGGGAAACTAAAGGATAAAATACCGAAAACTAATTAAGAGTTAATTGGGATGAAAACCTAATTAAGAGTGAATTAGAGACTTTATTACAATTAACCATTAATAAAGGAGTTATATGTAATTATGAGATAATTGCAACTATACACAAAATTGGATTATAATCTTCTATGGCTCTATAAATCTATATGATAAAGTTGAACGAAATTTGAATTTTGGAGACAAAGAGAGGTCCAGATCATTTTGAGATAAAATATAAACAAATCCAATAGACAACGTAATCCCAACATAAAAAACAATTCAGATTTTCTCAAAAATTTTGATCTAACGGTGTACAGTAATTACCGAATTTTATTTTCTCGCCCACCTCTCTCTCACGCCTTTCTCTCTCACTTCTGCCTCACCCCCTTACGTCTCTCTATCTCACTACTGCCTTTTTCTTCCAATTTCTCATGTCTCTATCCCTACCTTCCAAACTCATCCTCAAAATCTCTCATGAAATCTATCTCAATCTCACTTCTACCGATCTCAAATCTTCTCCCAGGTATCTCTCTTTCACACTAATTCCTCTCTCCTTTTCCCAAATATCTCCCTCCCTCTCTATCTCTCTTTCCCTAAATTTCTCTCACCTGTCTCCTCTCTCGGTTAATCTCTCTCTTTCTTACTCTCACTCATATCATGCACCTCTTTCTCTTTGACAAAGCAACTAACAATAGGCAGCGAAACACCCAACGACGGGTAATCTCCGAACCTTTCTGTCTCTCTCTCTCCCCATAGAGGCTCCATTGGCACAAACAAAGTCCATACCAAGCGACGGGTAATCTTCGAACCTTTCTGTCTCTCTCTCCCCACATTGGCTTCACTAGCACAAACAAAGTCCCACGAGTTCTATTTCTCAAATTTAATATTTGGTTGTTCACTATTAAATATTTGTTGTGAAAGCTCAATTTTTTTTTATTATCCTGTTTGTTAGTTTCGAATTTGGATATTGATTTGATTGTCCTCTGCTTCGGTGGATGTATGTATGGATTTACTGGAAGAGAAGCCAAAATAGTGCATAACTTATTGCTTGAATCAATTC